GGGGATTCAGAGGGGCATGATCCTCCTCCCAACAAGTTAATACAAATCTAAGAAGTTTCAGGGTCATGCCCTCAGCCCTGTTTTTCTCCAATTTTTGATGTTTTGCAGAGAGGTTTTTAATTGGGGGGACGGAAAATTACCCAGGTTTTACACTGTTATGAAACGGCTTACTCAATACGCCGCCCTTCCAATGTAGGAAAATTGCGCAGGTAGTTTTTTTGTGGTATCGATTATGTGTTCTGTAGTCGAATAAGAATCTCGACCTCAAGCATGTTTAGCTGATTGGGTGTTCACTAAAACCCGTTCAAGACCTCTCTACCAGGTTGGGTATCGGAGGGGATACATTGTTTAGCTGAAAATAGTCCGGTGAGTTTGTCTCAGTTGAACCAGAAAATAAGTAAATGTATTAGCGGCCCAGTATAATGTGTATGCCCGATACAATTTAGTCGCGCTCAAAAACAAAGTTAAAGTGGAGGTTTCATGCTGAGAAAGGAAGAAAAAATATACTTACAATGAAATGAAATAACAGTCTTGATAATTGACTAACTGAAAAAGTCTACTGCTTAAACTTACACTTATATAAATTCAAGTCGGTACCATGTCGAATATCTGTGCAATCTAAGAAATAATCGATGCCAAAAGACCTGCGCAATTTTCCAACAGGTTCTGGAAAACTCCTTTGAACTTTTTGACAATAGGAATTAAAACCTGTGCAATTTTTCCTTGTCCTTTTGATTAAATTCTTGAAAATAATTGATGAGTGACATCTGCGTCCACTAGCCATTTATGCTTCTCGGCCTTTTGGCTAAGATCAAAGAGTAGTATCTGTCCCTGGCTTCTCCTCCGCCTTGAGCCCACTGGTTTAGCGGGAAGGATGCTGCTGAAGCTGATGAGGTACAGAGAAATCGGTGCCTCAATTATCTCTGGTGGATGGATTAACCTGGCATTTTAATAAAAAAAGAAAAAAAGAAACAAGATTTGGGAAGCTTCAGGATTTTTAAATTAAATTCTTGAAAATAATTATAATTGTTGTTCGACATCTACATCGACTAGCTTCTCATGCCCCCCCCCCAAGATGCCATGCGTCTGTGTGTGGGTGTGAAACGTCATATATCTCGCCCAATGCAAAGTCTGCCCATCTGCAATATGCAAGTCGAACTACCACCACGCTGGGAGCGAGATTTAATAACCACACGCATTTTTTAACTTTGTCCGTACGCCATAGGGTCATTTCGTACTCCCTGGTTTGTATTTTTCACATTTTTGAATACTTCTAGTACAAAGACCTCTTTGAAACTTTCAGTATTTCTCAAAAACATCATTTTGACAGATTGCTATGCAAAGCGTACCGATCGGATTAACGAGTACATTTCCTCTTTGAAAAGTGGTGGCAAAGAGTTCCCCCACATCGTATGGATACGATAGTAAAACACGACGTACGGATAGGGTTAGGTCGTGGCACAGAGTTCCCCACGTCGTATAAATACGACCGTAAAGCACGACGTACGGATAGGGTTAAAGAAAAATTTCTGCCCACCAGTCAACCAAACATTGCAACACTCCTGGCCACAATGGAGCCTCCAACTTGCAGATCCAGTGTATTGAGACAGTCCAAAAAGTATACTAAATAAAATCTCAACCAAAGAGAATCAATGTGGATCTGGAACTCGGGATCTCACCAAATGCTCTATGGCTGAAACATCGACTAGCCTCATTTCAAAGATCTTAAATTTACCATGTAAAGTATTAATCCATCAACCCAACTACAATTCACTTGAGGACTATTACAGCTCCTTGTATTCTATCTCCCCAGAATGGACATTGATCACAGTGCAAGAGCAATTGCTCAGAAATACTACAAAATCCGGGATCCTGACTACTATGAGTTTGAGGGTCAGTTAATACCACCGGTACCCTACTCCTGCTGTTATTCCTCATCCATATCTGTAACTGATTCTCTACTTCCTTGCCTGACATTTCATTTCTATTTTCGTTAAACAGAACCAGATTTTGCTGCTCACTTGCCCCCCCCCACGCGGTCCCCTTCTTTCTTTTTGTCTCTCTCTCTGTCTCTTTATAGTTGGTATTCATTCGCCTCCCCCCCCTCTTTCTCCCTCCCTCCCCTCCCTCTTTTAAAAATGCGTGTGGCTGACACACAGATGAACAACCAACTCTCTTAACCTCATAGATGGCGCTCCTATGACCTTATGCAGTTGCGAGCGCCGTAAAACCTTTACTATAACTAAAACTAACCTCATAGATAGCTATCTTTCCTTGTGAATATTATAATGACGCTTTTGATGAAGCAAAGACGTGGAAAAGTTAGCCTGCTGAACACACCTCAAAGTAGGAAACCCCTGGGGCGGGCTAAGATGCGGTGACTTTGTAGGTGTGGAGATACGTTAGAAACGTTAGAAAGGAGCTTGTTCTTCTTCTCT